TCTGTGGGCTAAGGAGGTATTTGGGGACATTTGTTAAGTGTTCAAGTACAGTAGTTGTGGCGAGCAGAAAGCTTTAATGGTCAATGAAAAAAAAAGGGTTCGGTTACTGGAGAAAGATTTATTTCCCCAGCAGTAATTATGAGTCCATGCCGATGAAAGGATGTCAGTGGAAAATCTCACTCGATTTCTTTAGAGGAGTGCACTTCTGGCCACCACATACACAAGCTTCTCCGGATGATGAAAACGCATTCACAAGCCATTTGTATCTTGATGAAGTTATGAAAGTTTCCATAGTAAACCCAAGACTCACTCTGCGACACACCTGCACTTCATTACTTGGCTTAGTATGGACTTCTGTCTCCTTAAAGAGCCACTATACCTCACCAAAATTAGGTAGCAATATAAGAAAAAGACAATTATTTTATTAATATAATTATTATATGTAAAGCTAAATTTCAGCCTTACATTCAGTCTTGCACAGTTGTAGGAAATACGGAAATTGTTTACTCTGATTTCACAGCACAATGTGACATTCTTGCAGTGTGTTTTAGAAGCTGCAGCAAGTCAATTATACCCTACCTAATTTCATGGATGGAGAATGTCCAACATCATCTAGCTCATTACTCCCCAACCTTTCTGTCTCTTGCCCACCCTTTTCATTCATCAAATGCCAGTATTTTTAACCATATAGGCTCAGTATCACATGTGGACATTACCTAGAATGCTTTGTATGCAAATGCAACCTGCCTAGGAACACCTACTTCTCCAGATTGATGTCCAACCATCACAGCATTTTGATATGTACATAACGCCTCCCAAGAGCCATTCCACTGCTTTCATCAGAACTGATGGCTCTTCTGGGGCAGGGTGTTGTGTTTTCAGGAATCTATGCACAGCATTGCAAATATTGTGCCACTAAAACCTCTGTTTTAACACAAATTGTTAGACAATGTAACTTGACTATTTTATGGCTAGCTGGTAAGTGTGCTGAGTTTTGTTTGTCCTTTTCTTCAGACAAAGGAGTCAATTGTCCTAAGTAACACACAGACTGCACATGGCTGCACCAGTTTTTATTTTATTGTCAGGTTTTTATTGCTGTCTGTGTCCCTTTCTGTTTGTCCTGGTGACTGGTATCAGTGAAAATTAGAAAGAAAATCTCAAGTTTTGAGTGGTCACCAGAACAAGAATAAAGGGGACATATTCCAATGAGGACACCCAGGGAATTCTCTCACTTTGGAAGGGATTTCCTCCTACTTCCTGTTGTGACTATGTGACAGGAAGTGAGGGGAGATCTCCCACAATGGGACACAAATGGCCTGCCAGGAATAATAACCCTACCTTAGTCTATCAAAAAAATAAAAAAAAGATTTATATACAAAAAATCACCAGCGTCAAAAATAGTGAGATAATTCCTAAATAAATGCTGCTGCTCCTTAGTGTAAACACTAATAAAATAACAATAAAAAACATCAAACTGCACAAATCAATACTCAAAAAATTAATATGATAAATAATATAAAATCATACAAAAAACTTATAATAAATATAATACACATTGAATAGTCCCCCACTCCAACAAAATAATTATTTGAGATGAATATGGTGAGTAGAGTGAAATTAAAAAGTCCTTATTCCAAGACCCTTGACCCGTGTTCACACCCGTTTGTGCTCAGATAGCATACCGCACTCACCAGATAATGGTGAAAAAACGCTTAATATGTTTTTTTTGGAATCCTAGACCTATTCAATTCAGCCTCCAATCACCAGGTTTAAGTGGAACTCCCCCAATGCAATAATACTGTAGATATTTGCCTCAGAACACCAAACCATGGTAAAAAACAGCCTCCAACCTCCAGGATCACCAGAGATCACTCACCATAAAAAGATGATTGGTACAGAGAAAAAAATGCATATAGTGTAATACTGCAAGACTCGAACAGGATGAATGTAAACACCAAACCACTCACATTTTAAAAGAATATAATCAGCATTTTTTATTAATATTATTATTATTATACAGTGTTTATATAGCGCCAAAAAGTTTGCTCAGCACTGTACAATATAGTGGGGGACAGGAGACAATACAGTAACAAGACAATATACGAGAGGTTCGAGGGCCCTGCTCTTTCGAGCTTACAATCTAGGAGGGAGGGGATAGTGGTACAGGAGGAAGTGGCTGTGGGGGATGGAGTGGTGGGAGGAGTAGAGGAGATCGGCTGTTAGGTGAGGGTGGGGTAGGCTTCCCTGAAGAGATGGGTTTTCAGGGTGTGCCTAAAGGTGAGGAGGGTAGGTGACAGTCTGATGGATCGGGGTAGTGAGTTCCAGAGGATGGGGAAGTCCTGGAGAAGTCCTGCAGTCAGGCGTGGGAGGAGGGAGACCAGGGAGCTAGAAAGTAGGAGGTCTTGTGAGGAGCGAAGAGAACGGGTTGGGTGGTATTTTGGTATCAGGTCGGTAAGGTAGTTTGGGGCAATGTTATGAATGGCTTGTACGTCAATGTTAGTAGTTTGAATTTAATGCATTGGGCAATCGGAAGCCAATGGAGGGAATGACAGAGGGGGGTGGCAGATGCAGAGCGGTTGGTAAGGTGGATAAGTCTGGCCGCTGAGTTCAGGATAGACTGAAGCGGGGATAGTCTGTGATGAGGTAGACCGGTGAGGTGGGAGTTGCAGTAGTCGAGTCGTGAGATAATAAGGGAGTGAATGAGTTGTTTAGTAGTGTCTGGAGTTAGGAACGAACGTATTTTGAAGATGTTGTGGAGGTGGAGCCTGCATGAGTTTGCCAGCGATTGGACATGGGGTTGGAAGGACAGATTTGAGTCTAGAGTGACACCTAGGACTTTGGCTTGTGGGGTGGGAATGATGGTGGCATTGTTGGTCGTGATGGAGAGGGTGGGGGGGCGTGGACTGGGGGGAAAATTAGGAGCTTGGTTTTGGAAAAGTTTAATTTGAGGAAGTGGAGTGACATCCAGTCTGATATGTCGTTCAGTAGGCGGGTGATTCGGGCGGAGACTGAGGGGTGAGGCGAGGGGTAGAGAGGTAGATTTGCGTGTCATCGGAGTAGAGGTGGTAGTTGAAGCCGTGGGAGTGTATCAGTTGGCCAAGGGAGGTGTAGATGGAGAAGAGGACGGGCCCGAGGACAGAGCCTTTGGGGACCCCAACAGAGAGGGGGAGGTGGCAGCATTATAGGTAAATGCTGAAGGAGCGTTGGGATAGATAGGAGGAGAGCCAGGAGAGAGCGGAGTCTCTGATGCCAAGGGAGTATAGTTTATTAAGGAGGAGTGGGTGGTCAACTGTGTCGAAGATCAAGAGAGTAGGAGGACTGAGTAGTAGCCATTAGCTTTGGCGGTTAGCAGGTCATTAGTGATTTTGAGTATGGCGGTTTTGGTGGCGATTGTAGACTAAGCACTCGAGGAGTTTGGATGAAAATGGCAGCAGGAAGATGGGTCTAAGGTTGCTCAGGTCGGTGGGGGTCCAGGGAGGTTTTTTGAGTATGGGAGTGATGTGCACGTGCTTTAGGGGGGAGGGGAATGCGCCAGTAGAGAGGGAGAGATTGAAGATGTGGGTGAGGGAGCGTAGGATGGAGAAGGAAGGAGATCGGAGGAGTTGTGTGGGGACAGGGTCAAGGGGGCAAGTGGTGAGGCGGGCTTCTGAGAAGGCCTTAGTGACCTCTTCAATGGTAGCAAGGCTGAAGGATTGGAGTGCCGGGGAAGTTATAGTGTGCGGGATGTTAGGTGTGGTGGTGATCAGAGCGGTCTCTCGGAGTGGAGAGCCTGCATATAGAGATTGCTTCCTCCATTCTAGAGACCACTCCATAGAGAGATTGTCACCTCCAATCTAGGGGTCCCTTCATAGGGAGATTGCAACTAACAGTCCAGGGGCCCCTCAAAAAGGAGACTGCTACCTCCAGTCCAGGGGCCCTTGAATAGGGAGACTGCTACCTCCAGTCCAGGGGCCCCTCCATTGAGAGATTGAAATCTCTAGTCCAGGGGCCCCTCCATAAGAGAGACTGCCACCTCCAGTCCAGGGGCCCCTCCATAGGGAGACTGCTACCTCCAGTCCAGGGGCCCCTCCATTGAAAGATTGCAACCTTCATCCAAGGGGCTACTTCATAGAGAGACTGCAATCTCAAGTCCAGGGGCCCCTCCATAGAGAGACTGCCACGTGCAGTCCAGGGGCCCCTCCATAGAGAAAGTGCCACGTTAACCTCCATAAACCAATAAGTAAGTTGTAATGATGAACAGTAACCAATAGTAACCAATCAATGAGTCGTAAAGATGTGCAGTAACCTCTAGCAACCATCAACAAGCAGAAAATGTGCTGGAACCCCTAGCAACTAGTGATCCATAATGTGTGCTGTAACCTCTAGCGACCAATCAGTGAGTGGTATTGATATGCTGTAACCTCTGGCAACCAATTGTAATCTCTGCCTGATCTGTTGCAGTAAACTGATTTCGAGTCTGGCAGCTATTTATGGTATGTCTCAGAGCAGGTAGAGAGAAAAATTGCAATGTGGGGGGGCAAGAAAACAGCTACCCAGGGTCCAATCAATATTAAAGATGGCTCTGTCCAGCTCCCGCTCCCTGCCTGTACACAAGCATCCTTCAGCAAGGATCGTGGACACAGCTCCTGTCTGCCCTCAGAGTAGGGTGTAGTCTTACAGGGGCACTCTGATGGGCACATTGAATGTTAAGGGGGACGCTGATGGTCACATTTTATGTTAAGGGCCTCTCTGATGGACACAACATAGAATGTGCCCATCAGAGTGCCCCTTAATATAAATATGCTCATCAGACTGTCCATTAACATAAAATGTGCCCATCAGCATGCCCCTTATTTTATGTTAAGGGGCACTCTGATGAGCACATTTTATGTTAAGGGACACTCTGATGGGAACATTTTATGTTAAGGGGGCACAAATGGGCACATACTGTGGAGAGGGGCACTCTGATGGGCACATGTGATGGAAAGGGGAACTCTGATGGGGAATATGATGTAAAGGGGCACTCTGATGGGGAAATATGATAAAAAGGAGCACTCTGATGGGGAATATGATGTAAAGGGGCACTCTGATGCGGAAATATGATGTAAAGGGGTACTTTGAGTGTAAGAGGGCACTCTGATGGGAATACTTGATGTAAGGTGGCAATGTGATGGGGATACCTGATGTAAAGGTGCACTCTGATGGGGACAACTTATGTAAAACAGCACTCTGATGGGCACACTTGATGTGACGGGAATACATGATGTAAAGTTGCACTCTGATGGCGACTCTTAATGTAAGGGGGCCCACTGATGGGCACACCCTATTCGTACCTCGGCCAGAAGAAAAGTTTAGTGACAGGACCGCCTTAAATTGTAATTCAATACCCCTGCTCTAGATGTATATCCTTTGTGACTATGGAGGGCTATATTTCAACTAAAAGCCCTGGCCTGGCATTCTACTTTAATGTTAAAAATAAATAATATATATATATATATTTTTTTTTTTTACTATTGCATCTACCCTATATAGGCTGGTGTTTTGAGCAGATGCAGTTTAATTCTAAATTCTGAAACTATCCAAATGACATCTGTATGAATTTGCTCCACAGCCTGATATGAAGTTATTCTGGAACAACAAATAAAGCCACCTACTTTAGTATTAGACAGGGCTCAAACCATAATTGAGCCCTGTGGGAAAACTGGCTTTTGCTCCGTTATAAATTCTTGGACTTTGTGGGTGGTATTGGTGAGATCGATGTGAAAAACCACAGACGTGCAAGTCATGAGCGACAACTCCAGCTATTCCTACGTACACAGCCATGTACATGCAGATATTTCAGTAAAGTAAATAATAATTAGCCATCGAATCAAACCTGTATCATCTTGATTCAATCTGCGGGTTATTAGGATGCAAATAGCAACCTTTAATCTTGTTTTTGCTCTAAATACATTAATACATTTAGGAAATTAACAGATCTCAAAAACAGTTTTACTTTTGAAGGTTAAATATCAACCAAGTTTTTTAGATGAATAAAAAAATAGCCTGAAACCTTTTTCTGCTTTTTTATTTGTTCAAAAAAATGTCTGTTCTCAATTATTGCTTTTAACAAACATGCAGCTCATCTAAAATGAGAATATATTGGTTGCATTGCCTTCAAGATAGCTATGCAGCTACTATTGTGTTGTAACATAATTTAAAGCTGGACTCTGGGCAGTTCCAAAATCATTAAAATTGACCCCCCAAGTTGATAAAAGATCCCTTGTTTGTTTTGTCTAGGGTAGTGGTCACCAAACTGTGGCATGCAGGATGGATGAGGACCTTTGCTTGCATTTTTTTCCGGCCCCTGGGGCACTATTCCTTCCTTTGATATGATGCAATATTCCTCCCACTGCATCCCATGATGGGACACTATTCCTCCCACTGACTTCAATGATGGAACACTATTCCTCCTACTGACAGTAATGATGGGGCAATATTCCTTCCTTTGACACAAAAGATGGGGCACTATTCCTCTCACTGACACCACTGATGAGGCGCTGTTCCTTCCACTGACACCAATGATGGGGCACTATTCCTCCACCCACTACATCTGGGCCATAATTTACTCCCACTGACACTGGGGCTACAGTCTGGCCCCCCTAAAGTCTAATGCACAGTAAACTGGCCCTTTGTTTGGAAAGTTTGGAGACTTCTGTTCTAGGGGATCAAATTACACAGAGCAACTTACTTTAAATTGAAACTGCTGGTGGACTGGTACTCTTTTCTCTGGAATGTAGACGGACACTGTTGCAAACTTGCGCATCAGAGTTGGACGCGGTTCAACCATTTTGTAGGCATCTCCATTTTCTTCCTTATCCTTCTCCTCCCCCCCCCCCTTCCTGAGAGGCACAGTGCCAGATGTGTGTGTAATGGTTATGGGTCAATGGCAGGCCAGGACATCCCTAGTTCAGTGCTGAGCGGTCTTTGGAAGTTGTAGCCTTTCTCACCTAAGCCAAGATAAGGACAGCTTTTCCCAGAGAGCCAGAGTCTCTCTGTCCAAGAACCTGTGTAATTTCACACCTCGTAAGGAGATAAGGCAGCTCTCCCAGGAATTGAAAGAATTGTAACCTCATAAAACCTAGCTCAGCGTAGGTGACAGGATCAGATAACTTCTGGTAAAATCAGTTTTTCCCCTATGTCTCATATCTTGGAATATGGAAGACTTACATAAAAACCAGACACATCGTCAGATGGCCAATGAGGAGACGAACATTTTGATGGGTCACTCGTCCACCTCAGACCATCAGGGGAACCAAAACATAGAACTCGTACACCGTGTAACGTACAATTTTATAATTCATATCTATATGATCCTCAGGCTTATCTGCATAATAGAATACCCGTGGGTGGACTGTAGCTTGTGCAGATAGGAAATTATGGAACAGAATATGAATTATGAAAAGATGCTGGCTCCAGTTTAGGGTCCCGCCTGGCGACCCCTCCCTGCACAGTGGATTGGTTTGTTACTTCAGAACCACCCCCTGCCGGGAAACTTTAAAACAGGCTGTCAGCCTAAGTAAGTTGAATTAAAGACATCTTCCATTTTTCCATCGTAACAGCGGGAGATCAAAGCACCATTCTGCTCTAAAAAAATTGGATCTGCTTACATCAAAGGCTTAAATGGCAAGTAACTTAACCCTTTAACTTCTCCCTGTTATCTCTTTGCTGTGCTGTTTTCTATGTATATATATATATATATATCTTAGTTACATCTTTTCTCTGTAAATATTTTTATTGCACCTGTTTGACCCTTTTAGTAATAAATCTTCCTTTCTGAAAGTGTTGAACTGTTTCTATAGCCCCTAATTGCAATTTACGAATTCCTGCCTTTTGAAGAGACGCTACTGTTGGTTTAAACCTCTGTATAACCGGCCTGCGGACCGTTTTATACAGACGATTATTTCAATCATTATAGTGTTATACTGATAACGCGAGTTTCCTCTTTCTCTGTACAAAAGGAGGTGGTGGCAGTGTAAAAGGGGTAATTGCGTAATTAACCTGACCCAGTAACAACCGCTCAGGCGCAGATACATAGATTGTAGTCCATTAGCTGGAAAATCTTTGTGCACGGTGCGACTGGGCGTGGTATTGTTACGCACATCACATCACGGTTTGGATCAGCCAGTCCTTCGGTCATGAGTTTGGTGAGAAGGTCTGGGGTCTGACGCCGTGATCGTGACAGACACTACTTTTGAAAAATAGGAATAAATTTGAAAATAGCGAATATACAAAACAAATTCGAATCTGAATATAGGAAAGAAATTCGGAAAGCTAATATTTTAATATAACGAATATGATGAACTGAAATGATTTACTTAAGGAATAAAAATTAAATGAAACCATTTTTTTTGTTGTGCGTATCTGCTTGTGATTGCCTGGTTGTTGGCACTAAACTGCTTAAGTTCCCGCCCTGCTTCTTCTTGGATAGGACAATTCCCACTTGCTTGTTGTCATGTTTCACATGACTGTCATATTGACTGTCATATTCCTTTAAGTGTTTTCTATATTTTGTCTCTGCTCCTCCTTTTCCTTTGGTTTAGTTACTGCTGTATAGATAGCCCTCCCCTTTTCCCAGAAATGCATTGAAGCTTCTAGCCTCATGCCATGAAGCAGGAAACATTATGATCTTTTGACCTATCAGATGTTTATTGTTGTAAGAATCTCTCAGTTTATGGAATAAACTTCACAAGATCTACAAGATGTCTTGGTATCCAACTGAGGTTGGAGTTATCGTTATTTCATCACAACTGTAAGTTACAGAGATCACACTATCAATGCTTAGGTTGGAGAGACAGAACACTCGTAGACGAAAGCCTTCACCACAATGTGTCAAACTCCTGGTCTTAGGCCCGCTCATGACATCCCTGGCCTTCACCCTTAAATAAGGCCTTGAATAAGTTCACCTTTTGTAACATGTTACATGGTATACCCATATTTAGGGTGTAACATGTTACAAATGGACCAGGCCCCTCACCCCCCCGATCCCCATTGTGACAGCCAGTGGGGGATCTTCTCCTCCCCGCTAGCTGTCACCATTTTAAAAGATCCAGCCATATCCTGTGAATGAGAGCACTACAATTTCTTTGCGGCTGTCAGCTTGTAGTTCTCAATGAACTACCATGGCTCTGTGAAGCGCCATGGTAATCCGTTGAGTCCTCCTGTCAGTAGGTATCTGCTTGCCTGTATGAGATGTACAATACGAGAAAGCAGATACAGTGACAGGTCTGCAGGAGACCTGCATGGCACCAGCGATCTGCTGATCACTAGTGCAATGCTTTAGAGGCTCCAGAAACAAAAAATAATAAATTAACATTTTTTACTTGCAAAAAAAATGTGCATTTATTATTTTTTTTTAAAAGGTGAAGTTATCCTTTAATATTAAAGAAAGTCATAAATTTTTCGCACCTGACTGGAACTTCTGAAAGAAGGCTGTGACCTCTAACATCACTTTGACGTACTGACAGAACGCCACACACAGGAGCAGACATTCTGTATCAGTTATTTGGGTGCCAAGCACCAGCATATAACTTATACACTGTCTTACCTTCACTTCTCTCCTCCTCTTTTTGTTGGGACAGAGTTGGGACCACTTCTCCATGTATACTAAGCCAACTGCCTACAGCTTTTGTCTGGCAATGTCAAAACAGAAGAGGAGCCTGTACAACTGTGCAAGGCTGAAGGAGGCATTTAAAGTACTTAAACTTACTATCCTGGTATAATGGAAGGCAATACCTCCTACTGAAGTTTTTTTGTTAAATATATATGGAAAACTGCATTAGCTAAGCACACAAACAATGATGTAATAACTTAAAGAAAGTTACGGTATATCTTGCTTTGTATCTGCAAAAAATTTCTTGTAAATCCAATGCAACCATAATGCGACCAACATGTGGCAGATCTTATCGATGTCAAATAAATCCCATTGCAAACAGTTTTTGTATAAAATAAAATTAAAAAAAACTTTAAAAGTTAAAATCAAACCAGAAGGGAATGTGTAATGGTTGAGTTTGTTACTGTAACTGTTTTGGAACATTAAAAACAAATGCAACCGGGCTGTTTTAGAATTGTTGAGCCCAGGGCAAACATCTCATGAGCATGCCCCCGTCCCACCTCTTGATTTCCACAATGCAAAAACATTTTTTAGTAACACATGCTGATAAAGAGAGAGAGGGTGATACCTTCTTTGAGAAACTACAAGACCCAGCAGGTTTTCCTCTCTTGGCCTCTCTCTCTGCAGTACTGTGCTTGTGCTTAGAAAAGCTTCAATTTATTTCATACATTGGTGAATATATATATATATATATATTTTT